AATATTGCTGTGATTGTTCAAAAGGAGAATGAGTTAAAGGATCTTTTCGGATGTGTTTTTTTTTTTCTTCTTTTTAATGATGATTACAGCTGGTTGTGTTAATCAACCCGTATGTGCATGATTAGGTAATGTCCAATTGTTTGGGCATAGTGAGCACTATACAGGATTGTCAGTGACCCCATTGCAGTTTCTCAACTCTGGGGTGACTCCATTTCCATCTGAAGTTTATGGAAATGAGCTGTCAGACTCTTAAGGGATATAGTGAGCTTCACTGCCTTTGTTCACTTTCTGTCATTTTTTTTATCTGTCTTGTTTTCTGATATGTTTATCCATCTTGATAAAAATAGCAACCTAAATTAAGTAATAACACACCCTAAAAGCAGATACTTGGGAGCTTTGCTTTTTGTATGTGTCAAATTTCTCCACTGTTTATGGTTTGAAAATTAATCAGTCTCCCTGGATCTCCCTCTTTCCTCTTCTTCCTACCTTCCCCTTCCTGCCCTCATGTTTGTAGAACATTGTATCTAGAACTCCTCAGAGATGGAGTGATGTTTGCGTTAGGCATATTTGTAAATCATGAGTAGTTCAGTATCATGTATCATACACATTTAATAAACAGTCTGAAGATTTAGCCACTAACAAATCTAAAGACCTCTGAAATTACTTAACACTGAAGAGGTATTTGGGGATTTATGTGTGATTTTTATTTTCATATAAAGTAATTTCTGTGTTATCTATTTTATTTTTATTGTCCAGAGTGAAAGTATTCAAGCCAGCAAGGAGTATTTTTTTTTTATCACCTATAAGCAGAGAATGATCTCAAAATGTGTTAAAGCTCCATGTAGTTCTGATAAAATAGCATTTTTAGGGGTATAGGCATAGCTTTTGTCTCCCCTTTGGCAACAAAGTTACAAGCTTTTAATTTCTATTTTTTTAAATTTGTTTTTAAAATTTCTATTTATTTTTTCAGTAAAGACAATCTCCTGTGAGGGTACCTTGACTTTGCTTTTATGCAGTTAAAAAAAAAACTGTGTGTATAAAGCTCTGTCTGTCAGATCTCCCTACTGATTTAAGAGATTCTTTGTCATTAAAAATTTCTGGCCCCAATTTAAAAGAAATTTTCCCAATAGTGTGTTGTTTGCTTTGATTAAAATAATTCTTTGGTAGTTGATACCAGGAAGTTAATTCTGTCATTGCCTACTTAAAGCATATGTATTTTGAAATAGCATTATCATTGTCTGATAGTATTTTATTGTTCAGCTCCATGGATGGAGCCTATATTCTCAGTAGAACTTACTAAAATAGTATAAGGATGCCTTTTTAGATAATTCAGTATAAGTAAAAATATTATTTTTAATATATATTTTTAACTCATGAAATAATTTGTTTGAAAGCATATTGTAAAACTGCAAAGAATAAACCAAATGTAATATAATTTTTATACCAATTACTTAATGTACAATGTCGTATAGGGAATATTTTCTAAAACCACAGTTCCTTACAAAGTAAAAGAAATTTTGCTATGGTTATTTTCTTAGCAGTCTTAGGATGACTGCTTCAAGATAGAAAATGTTTAAAAAAATTCAAAGAAAAACATAAAAGACTGTGAAATTTTTGAGACATGAGTGACTGTGATCCTTGACCATTTTCCTGTCTTGAGACCCACCTCATCGGACTGGGGACAGGGTGAGTATCCTCCTTCCTGTGGTTTAACAAATGTTTGTTGAGCTCTTTTTCTTTAACAGGCATTGATTTAGTCTGTGGGGAGAGATTTTGCAGAGGGAACGTGGGTGTGGATGTGTTGCAGGAAGGGGAACCCTTTCCAGGGCCCAAAAGGGAGCTCTTGTCCGACCCTCGGAAATGAAGTGTCCGAGGAGATACACACGCTGACAAAGCAAGAGATTTTACTGGGAAGGGGCGCCCAGGTGAAGAACAGGAGGGTAAGGGAACCTAGGAGGACTGCTCAGCCACGTGGCTCACAGTCTCGGGTTTTATGGTGATAGGATTGGTTTCCGGGTTGTCTTTGGCCAGTTATTCTGACTCAGGGTCCTGCCTGGTGGCTCCCACATTGCTCAGCCAAGATGGATTCCAGCAAGAAGAATTCTGGGAGGTGGTAGGACACATGGCGTTCCCTTTTGACTTTTCCCAAACTCTCCCTGTTGGTGGTGGCTGGTTAGTTCCTTACCAGGACCTGCTGTGTAAGGTAACTCATGCGCATGGTTGCTGTGGTGCCTGTCCGTGGTGGGTGGTTTCGGTCAGTGTGCTTCCCCTAACAGACGGGGGTCTCTGGGAAGTCTCCAGTCTCCCCCTTCAACGCTTGTGCTCCAGCCAAGTCTCAATGTTGATGCTGCTCCAGGGGAAAATGGGTGGAGGGACAGTGGTTGGAGGATTTATGGCTTTGCACGGTTCTTAACAACAAAGAAAATAAATTGGAGATTTTATTGTTTAAATAGTAAAAGCAAATGAAGGTAAATCATTCTGTGTTCTTTGGGTTGGAAATTATTTTTTAAGCCTGACACCAGCAGGAAAAAAACCTGACAGTTTTGACCGTTATGACAAAATCCTCATAAACTCAGTTAAAAGAGAATTAGCTGGGAAAAACCTTGAGCATACAGAAAGAGAGTTTAATTGCTTGACAATATTGTAGTGGTTTTGCCATACACTGACATTAATCAAAATAAATTAATTAAAAAAAAGAAATAGATATGCATTATTATTTTTAAAAAAAGAGTTTATACAAAAGAAAAAGTTCAGGAAACTGAATGCTTTGATGGAAAAATTAGAGAAAAGAAAACCGAAGAGAGGAGATACAGGTCAGTAAGGCTACTGGANTCCCCTTCTCCTCCTGCCCTCAATCTTTCCCAGCATCAGGGTCTTTTCCAATGAGTCAGCTCTTCGCATCAGGTGGCCAAAGTATTGGAGTTTCAGCTTCAACATCAGTCCTTCCAATGAACACCCAGGACTGTTCTCTTGTAGGATGGACTGGTTGGATCTCCTTGCAGTCCAAGGGACTCTCAAGAGTCTTCTCCAACACCATACATGTATATATACATACATATTGTGTTTGAGATTTGTTACCTCAGCATGGTGGAATTACAGAGTACTTATAGTTTCAACATACCCCTTTATGACCTTTTTGCACTGTCAAAACACTTTTATGGGATATGTTATATTAATGATCAGAAAAAATAAAGTTACTTTCATTTTGGGAAAGGGACTTTTAAAAAATAGGATTTATTTTTTAGAATAGTTTTAGATTTACAGAAAAGTTGAGTTCCCATCTACTGTATATCCAGTTTCCCCTAGTATTAACATCTTACATTAGTGTCATAATTTGTTGCTGTTAATTAACCAACATTATCACTAACCGAAGTCCATACTTTTTTCAGATTTACTAAGTTTTTACCTAATTGGTTGTGTCAGTTTCTCAGACTGTGTCTTCTTTTTGATGACCTTGATGCTTTTGAGGAATTCGAGGCAGATATTTTGTAGGATGTCCTTATACTGGAATTTGTCTGGTGTTTTTCTCATGGTTAAGACTGGAGTTATGGGATTTGGGGAGGAAGACCACAGATATAAAATGCCATTATCATCACATCATATTCAGGGTGCATATTGTCAGAATGATTTATCACTGTTCATTGTTGTTGACCTTGATCATGTGGAGAATTTTCACAAACTATTTGGATATTTCTTGGTTTTTTTTTTTCTGTCAGATTACATCAGTATCGTTAAGTTAAAAAAAAAAATCCATGTCAAATTATTTCCAGTATTCTCAACGTAATCTTTTAGCCTTTATGAGATTCAGAACATGGCTGAGTTAATTTTAGCTTGAAGATTTCTTTTCTTTTTTAATCTTAATTTTTAATTGATGTATAGTTGATTTACGATGTGTCAGATGTACAGCGAAATGATTCAGTTTTACATACATGTATATACATATATATCTTCTTTCTTAGATTCTTTTCCATTGTAGGTTATTACAAGCTATTGAATATAGTTTCCTGTGCTATACAGTAGGTGGGTGAAGATTTCTTAGAAACATGTGGGAACTCACCATTTTAGGGAGGCAGGATGATCTACCTTTTGTAATTTCTCAAAGTCAGATCAATTATTCTCTTATATATTACATGTTATTCACAAGAATATAGTTGTACTCAAAGTTTCTTTTGATACAAAAAAAAAGAATATTAGATAAAGGATTGGAAAATGTAGATGTGAAATGTACTGTACTGATGATTTTGCATCTGGGCTTGCCCTTCCTTGAGAAATCCTGAGCTTTGCAAGACCAGGTCTCTTACATATTGCTAAAGAGTCCTGTAGGTCTCCTCTGAAGTATAGTACCTATAACATTTGTGACTGATGAATATATGGCTTCCTTGCTGGGTTGAGAGTTTCAAGGGAGTAGGGACCACACATGCTCTGTTTGATCCTCTCTCTTCCACACTCAGCCTATAGTAGGCACAGAAATACACGTTGACTGTCTGTCACAGCATATGTCAGCTTTCTTAGCATGTTCAGAAATGAGTCACATTGATAGGTAAATAATCATAACATAATGCTCTGTGAAAAAGGTAGTATACAAAATGTAAAACAATAGTAATAAAAAAAAGAAAGAAATGGAGAAAGAAGATTAGAAGTAAAGTATTAACAGTTGGCTATCTCGAGTTCGAGATTACTGCTGGTTTTAATTTCCTTCTTTGTTCCAGTTCTCTGTAGGGAGTTTATTTTACCATTAGAAAATACCAGAACACATTACCTGATACTTTTATAATCAGATTGAATTGTGAGCCCCATCACAGAAACAGTCCAGTTCTAGTATGTGTAAGTGCCCATCAGGCAAGACAAGTTGCCAAGTCACTGACCATCTCTAAGCTTACTTTATTTTTATTTTTATTTTCATCAAAACCAATTCAAGTATTCTTTATCTAATATTAATTTTAAAGTGCAGTTCCCATCTATATTGGAATGACTGTTATGTCATATATATATTTCATTCACTTCAGTAATTTAACTTTTGCACATTTAATTCATCAGATTAAAAAAAAAACTTAAGAGAACTTGACTTTCCCTTATTTAGTGTTTTTAAATAGTCAATAGGATATTAAACCCAAGTCTAACATGGGTGCATCAACCTGCTTTTACATTTTCCTTAAAACAAAAGAGGTAATTCATTTTATTCTTCTGCTAACCCTCTTTAGATAGCAGTGAATTCCTGGATTAGGTGAAAAATCATTAAAAGACCTTGTAGATTTTATAAATCCAGGCCATTTGTATTTTTCTTGCTTGTTTCTCTAGGATAATTAAATAGTGATGGATTAGAATTAGGCTGCAGCAGAGATTGGGGAAAAAAAAATCTCCCGGCATCCTTTCCTGCAGGAGCGTCAGCTTTCGGCAGTGAGTGTAGCTGCCACTTTTAACTGACATGTCTTAAATTCTGCCCTGGGAAGCTCGGGGACGCTGTCAGCAGCCGGGCAACTTCTTTTCTTACTCTTATTAATTGAGCATCTCACAATATACCAAGACATAACTCAGAATTTGAGGATTTTTTTGCCTTTTAAATTGAGAACTGTCTCTTCTTTCCATTTGCTTTAAAAAAAAAATCTGGTAGGAAAGAAGAAAAGGCATCTATATTCATTTCTTCAAAGTTACAGCTGCTCTAAACCTGTGAGTATGTTGCATTTATTTAGCTGTTCATGGGGGGTATGGTTGCAGCATTCTCTTTGGATCTGTGAGGATTTAATTTAAGGAAAGCTATGCCGATAAAAAAAAAAAAAATCAGAGTGAAATTTCACTGGAGACTAGCAGTTTTTGTTAGTTGACATTGTCTTCTTTAAAGCCTTCGTGTCAAGCCTGCCAGGGCTCCCCCTGCTCCCCAGCCTGGACCCCCTGTGTCTTTTTTTCTGAAGTTCCTGAGAGTGAGTGCTGAAATGGGAGAAAATAGCAGCAAGATTCTGCTGCTGAGAAGGATGCTATGGCTGGTTTACTGCTCTTGCAAGGTGTGCGTGAGGCTGCAGAACAATGGAAAGATGATGACGGCTTACTTTGTATTCGTTGTGTTTGTCTTCTGTCCTTTGTTGGCCTCGTGGTGCGTTTTTGTTTTGTTAGGGTGATTAAAATCTTAAAGAAAAATTAAGTACTGTGGCAAGCTGGCAGAATAGCCTCGGGAGATAGTCATAGACCTCACCTCTCTCCATGCTGCTTGGGGTTCCTCAGTCTCTGTAGCGGATCACAGTAAATGGGAGTTACCCCAAAGTGACCTTTGCCTGACCACCCTGTTCTAATTGTGCATTTGAATCCGTGCCATTTTTTTCTGGTGACGCAGACCCTTTAATCTAAACATCTGTCCTTAGTCATTGTGTCCCACTTTCCCTCTTTGGAATTCACTGGAGGCTAGAACTGTATCCTGGCTGAATTTTTATTGAATCAATTTTGAATCTTTTGTATAGACAGAGGTAAAATTTTGGTTTTCATAATAACCCCCGTATGTTCTTGATTAATCTTTGTTATATGAAAGTCTTCTTATTTTAGTGATCTGATTCACATCATTTGGTTTTGGATCTCATTCCTTTATTTTAAAATCACATTAGCTAAAACAATTTCTCAAAGTTAAGTTAAGAGCTCAATAGTCATAATACTTTAAAATACTAACTGGTAATAGTCATCTTTGTAGATGCAGAATATATTTGACTTAAGGTGATGTATTATGTGAGTTTTTTGGGTGCTAGTGTTTTGGTTGATTTTCTGCAGTGTAAAATAAATCAAGGATTTTAAAAAGGAAATTCTCTACCACCCAGAGATGAAACATCTGCTGTTCTTATTTTTGAACATTTCGTCATTTCTAAATGCAGCAACTTTGAATTCAATGAGGAAAGAGTCCTAAAAATAGGAAATTCTGCCTTACCTAGACTGGCAAAGAACTTATATTCATTCATTCAACAAATGTTTACATTTTTCACAAAGCTCTTGTTAGGCTCTGGGACATGATGCTGAACAAGGTATTTTATCTGCCCTCATGGAGCAGATAACTGGTAGCAGGTGAGGGGAACCTTCAGAAACTGCACAATTATTTCATTATATGTGTGTTAATTTTTCAACTGTAGAAATATTGGTACTTTGCAGCCAAATATATAAAAGACATACAAACACTTGAAACAAATTCTGTCTCAGATCTTCTGGAGCCACAGATCCTTGGTACGCTTGACCTAGAAAGAGATCTTGAAAATAATTAGTTCAACAAGCATGTGATAGGCACTATATAAAGTACTGAGTTTTAGATCAGTAAACAAGGAATAGTGCCAGCTTTGGAGGAGCTCACAGTTTAGTCTATCGAGAGAGGGAGGGAAATTAGTTATGTTAGTATATTCTAGTATGTTACTGATTCACTAATTGAATGAATATTTATTGAGTAACATTGGGCAGTGTCATAGGCAGTGTGTTGGGCACTGGGGATGGGGTGGAGAATAAAACAGAGGTGCCCTGCTCTCTGGAAACTCTTAGGGGCCATGACAGAGAAATGATTGGATGCCATGAGAATACACAGGAGGCGTGGAGGGGTGTCACTACCACTTACTGAGCCTCTGCAGTGGACCAGCCACGAACTGGTACTCTTCTTTTGTACATTAATCTCCCTTCCCTTCACTCCTGTAAACTACTTACTATCTGTGCTTTGACATGCAAGTAAATGGAGATGAGGTTAAGAAATCTGCTAAAGGTCACACAGGAAGTGAGTGGAGGAGTTAGAACTCGGTCCCAGATGTGACTTGATTTCAAATCCCTGCCACTTCCAGTGGCCCCCAAACCTGGCTGCTTATCAGTTACCTGAGCTCTAGAGGGACTTCACTGAAGTCTAGTTGCTTTACAATGCTTTAGTTTCTGATGTAGAACAAAGTGAATCAGCTGTATGTCTACCTGTATCCCCTCTTTTTTGGATTTCTTTATGATTTGGGTCACCACAGAGCGCTGAGTCAAGTTCTCTCTGCTAGACAGAGAACATTACAGGCATCCCTCAGGACTGTGAGCAGTGAGGTTTAGGAACCACTCTTAGACTATCCCCTCAACTTACAGATGGGGGAGCAAAGATAGAGATCACATAGTAGTAGTTAAAATGGGGCCAGTAGCTAGACTTCTTAGCCACCATTCATTCCATTCTAGTGTCTTGGAAGCCATATCCTAAGAAATCAAAACCAGAATCAAGAGCAAACAGCAGACACAAACCAACCAGCCAACTTGACAAAACAAAAAATAAAAACAGTAAGAACCTGAACCTGTGAAGTGTTTGGCTGGCCTTGACTCTGAAGAAGAACCCCTGGCAGACCTGCCCTGCCAGCCTGGATTCAGAGGTCTCCCTATGCTGTCAGGGGGTTATTACTTGAGAGTGAACTAGTCAGGACTTGTAAATAAATAAATAAGGCAGATGTTTTGACTTATTCATTTAGGCACTTACAGTTTATTGGGGGATACAGACAAGGAACTCTGTTATTGGGATGTAATGGGATAAATTTTATAGTGTGGAGAAGGTCAGTGATCTGTGGGAGCAAAGATGAGGGGCAGTTGACTCAAGTCTGGGTGATGGCAGGATTTCAGGGAGCTTTCTGGAAGAGGGCGATGTCTGAATTGAGGCTGATGTTGCTAGATACTGGTGGCAATCAGGTATAGCAGCAGGATTTATTATGCCAAAGTCCCTGAGATATGAGAGACTATTGCAAGAAAGGAAACTTTTCTCCTTTATCCCCTTGGGGATACTTAGGGCCTGTAAATTAAATGGACAAAAGACAGATTAGCAAGAGAAGAGAAAAACAAGTTTAACTGCATACATACATATGAAAGTTCGCCAAGAAATGTGCCTCGAGGAGGTGGTTGGAATTGGGAACTTATCATTTAAACAGAGGACAATGAAGTGTGGAGAAGAGGCTAAAGAAAAGAAAAGGATTTTGGGGGCTACTGGATGAGGGTAAGTTATGGGAAGATGATTAGAAAATGTATGCTAAATAAGAATTGTTTAGTAAGGTTTTCATGCAGATAAGGGGCTTCCCAGGTGGCACTACTAGTAAAGAACCCGCCTGCCAATTCAGGAGACATTAGAGACACGGGTTCGATTCCTGGATCAGGAAGATCCCTGGAGGAAGGCATGGCAACCCACTTCGGTATTCTTGCCTGGAGAATCCCATGGACAGAGGAACCTGGTGGGCTGCAATCCATAGGGTCGCAAAGCGTTGGACATGATTGAAGCGACGGAGCATGCACGCAGGCACACACATACAGATAAGAATCCTCTCAGGTGGTAAGAGTTATCTCTGGACTAGTTTGCTTCTTGGTGTGGGAGAGGGAAACATCTTTAATAAATGAAATTGATGCCCTGATTTTAGAAAGAAAGGAGGGGAGCAGAGAGCTAATTGCCTTCAACTCAAAATACTCTTTATGTGAAAATGACATTTGGGGTGACATACTCTGTTCCCCTTCACTATGATCTCTTCAGGGTTTGTCCAGAAGCTTGGGTGCCCAGCAGTTCTAGTGAGGATAGGCTGGTTAGTGAAAGACAGGTGCCAAGGTTCGTTGCCAAGAAGCTGTGGCAAGGACAGTGATGAGCCACTGAAGTGTCACTAAAGTGTGAGCAGTGGAGTCACCTTGCTCCTGGCTCTAAGACTCTGGCCAGTTGTTAATAACTTAGGGCTTAAATAGGCTTTGATGGCTTAGGTTGAGATTTTAACATATTTGTGTGCCTGTACATATGAATGTATAGAGAGATTTATGCTATATATATGTGTGTATGTACATATATTTATGTATATATATACACATGTTTAACACATATACATAGAGATATATATTGATATAGGTATATATCAATCATTGTTTTTATGGAAGTATATTTTGATTTCCAGCCCAGTAACTTATAAACAAACATATCACTCACTTGTGACTTGTATATAGTTTTCATCTCCCATTTTTTTGCACCAAATCTCTCATTTGACTTGCAGAAGTCTCTGAGGCCTATCGTGAGATAAGGCATTTTGAGGCTCTATGTGGTTTCCTGAACAAAGCTTTGAGGGAGGTTTAGCAGTTCTTTGCTGTGTCATTATGTTCATATCTTAAAGAAATAGGCTAGAAATGGCAAAGAAATAGACTAGGTTCTTCTTAAAATGTCTTCTGTGTCAGGCCCAGTACCCATGGTGTGTCTGTTTTGGATCTTAAACAACTACTGTGTTAATTAATTTCCCCTTTTACTGGTGAGAAAAGTGAGGTGGATAGGTTAAATCAGTTGTCCACAGTCATTCAAAGTGCTGACCATGACTCCATCACGCTGAAAGTTGGCAGATCTGTTTTATTGTGTTTCCTAATCTTGGATTGACTGAGGGGATGTAGGCAGCCCCCCTCCTTTTTTGTAAATGAAATTTCAGTGTACTCGCAGACATGTGTCATGAAAAATGCTTAGGTTTTTTGACCTTGGGCTCAGAGATCCTCCTGTTGTTTTGACTTGCTTTCTACTTTTCAACTAAATTTATATTTACGTCTTTGGCTTATTTTCAAAAGGGCAGGACTCACCTACGGGCAAATTATGTGGACATGAGGTTGGCATGGATTTCATACATAGCTTGTTTTTCTTTTGCGATTTCATCAGTTCACAGGTGTGGAAAGTCTTTCATGACCATTCAGGTGGTATGAAT